GAGCTGCTTTTAGAAGGATCTCCAAGGTGTTATGTAATAGAGACCTAAAATTGGCATTGAAGATCCGCCTACTTCGCTGCTACGTGTTCTCGGTCTTACTTTATGGTGTCGAGTCTTGGACTGTGAAAAAATCGATCCAAAACAAGGCTTTCGAAATGTGATGCTATAGAAGAATTTTAAAAGTTTCCTGGGTGGAGAAGATAGACAATACTAGAACGTCTCAGCAAGACTACTGAGATCAGCAGAGAAAAGCATCAAACACAGAAAGCTGGAGTATTTCGGACATGTACGGAGAGGTCCCAAATATAGGTTGCAACAAAATATCATGCAAAGAAAAATAAAAACGAAACCATCAAAAAAAGGAAAACGGCGTATCTAGGTCACATCATGCGAAATGAAAAATACCAGTTCCTCCAACTTATAATCGAGGGTAAAATTGAAGGCAAGAGAGGAATTGGACTCATGGAATGCAGTATGTCACTCTTACTGTTTAATTTATATATTGAGACACGCCTCCAAAATTGGAAAAACCACTGCCAGGTAATGGGAATCATCATAGGAAATGATGTACTGTTCTCCCTGAACTTTGCGGATGACCAAGTAGTCCTAGCTCAAGATTCTTATGATCTAGAATTTATGATAAAGCGTCTATACAGAGAATAGGTAAAATGGGGGTTACAAGTCAGTATGAAGAAAACATAATATTTAGTTACCAATTCAGATGCAAGGGTTGAAGTGTTGATAGAAGAGGGCGTGGAAATCAAACAAGTGGAAAAATTTAAATATTTAGGTGCACTCATTAATAAGAACGGCTTCGGAAAAACCGAAATTAAATACCGAATTAATCAGGGACGTAAAATTGTAGGATGTCTGAACTCATTATTGTGGGATCGCAACATTTCCAAAAGGAACAAAAAAAATAATAGGGCAAACCATGATTGAATCAGTTCTTTGTTATGGCTCTGAAGTATGGACAATTAATGCAGACCTGAAGAGAAGATTGTTGGCAGTTGAAATGGATTATTTGAGAAGAAGTGCTAGAAGATCAAGGCTGGAAAGAAAGAGCAACGAATTTATAAGAAACAACATGAATGCTACAGAAACGGTCATTGACAGAATAGAAAGAAGAGGTTTAAAATGGTTTGGACACCTATTGAGAATACCTGATGAAAGTTGGCCCCAAAACTTCACATATGGAAGCCCCTGGAAGAAGAAAAAGAGGTAGACCTCGACGCTCATGGAACGAAGGAATTAGAAGAGCGATGGAATCGACAGGTTTGGAGAAGGAGCATGCCTTGGACCTTGGACAATCTTTTAGAGGTATTGCTGATATGAACTTTCTCTTTACCTTCTTAGGAATTTTATCATTCTTCATACTTCGCTTGCTCTACAAAAGCCTATATTCTGATATATTTGTTTACATTTTTTATTATCCCATGTATGCTATCATTTTGTAGCGTAAAAATCAGGAAATTAGATAACGACGAGGAAATTATTTTTGAACGCTTGTTAATTGTATAAATTTACCTAAATTTAGCGACTAGTACCTTTAGGTTAATTCCCTATAACGAAAATTAATTACGCATGCTTTGACAGTGACCTTGCAATTTAACGAACGTGAGTGACTATAGTTAACTCGAGATAACAGAGTTAAAATTAAGTGTCCTGTTTAAGGTAATTACTTAATCGCATTGCACACATTGTTACTGTATGACAAAGCTTCGAAATTCTTTAGATACCATTTACAAAAGAGAATATTCTCGATAAAACAAATTATATGGGTTTAAAAAACATTATTTATAGTTTATACAGTCTTATTGTAATAAATAAAAACGATGGTGGGTAGGGTATGTTTCAACTGTAGTGGCGGAAATTTATAGGAACAGTAAAGCCTCACCAAACATAGCAGTGGCGTTCAAAAAAATACTTATCATTTAAATCAAATTGTTAAAGATAGGTACACAATTTATTAAACAATATAAGATTATATTTTTGGCAATATTGTACTACATTTTAATACATATTATTATAATATAGCACATACATAATATATGTGGTGCTGGAGAAGAATGGTGAACATACCTTGGACAGCTCATAGGACAAACGTTTCCATTCTCAACAACTCGAGATTAAAAAAAAGGCTGTCCTCAATATGTCTGCAACGTATTCTGCAATTTTTCGGTCACGTGGTTCACAGAGGTGACGATAGTTTGGAGAGATTAATTGTTTCTGGAAAAGTTCCGAGGAGAAGATTAAGAGGACGAACACCAGGAAACTCATTCTGCGAAGATCTCAGAGCAGCTGAAGATAGAGACCAATGGAGAAAAATTGTTAGGAATATTGGAAAAAATCACGATCCTCAGTAATGGGGAAACGACAAGAGACAGATTAACACCATAGTTTTTCTTTATGTGGTTTTCACAACAATTGTAAATTGTTTGTGTAGTGTTGTAGTGTCACTGCCAGTGTATCGCAATAAGCTCAAGTTCTTCTGTGGTGGCATTAGAAGATGACAACGATTAGTGTGAAAACGTATACGGGTCTTATTGTAAAGATCTGCCACGGTGCATTTAACACGTTGCCTGCCTTAGAGGAATTTGTAATACTTTCCGTTCACGCCAATGCCATTTCTGCTATATGGTCGAAAAAATTACCGCTCACGCCACGGTGCGCAGAGGTGCTTTATATAGCCTGTAATGTCGGCCTTCCTCGATCAAATTGACCGAGACGGCACCACAGTCACGTTAAAATTCTCGTTCAAATAGACCCCGCTGGCGTGCAGAGCAATTTTTTCTCGAACACATAGACCGAGACGGCAGGCAACGTGTTTAAAAAACAATTCAATTTATTAAATTGTGATATATATCGGAAATATCTTAGATGTCAGTCTTATTCTTGATGGATGTAGATCTTTTTATGTGAATCATCTTCAATATGCATCTCTTGTTGTAGTTTTGTTACAGATTTAGTAAAAAGAGCAGATACATCTTTTTGATTTCATCTTAAACTTTTGGTAGAGTGCAAATATAATTGTGTAATGTAATGTTTATAAAATAAAGTGCTTATTGAAAATATTTGATGTTTTAGAAACCCTAGATTTTACTTATTTCTTTAGTGTGCCATATTCTACTAATTATAACAACATGCAAATTTAGTGACATATTCTCTACAAATTGTGTAACAAACATCTAAATTTTCTGGAACTTGAAACGTCGCCATCGAAAGCTACAAAACAATCCATAAGAGTCATGAACGGCCTGCTAAATTTTTAATGACATAACAGTGGCAGGTCAGAAAGAGGGTATTACAAAAATATTTATATAAAAATTTAAAACATGAGTAACGTTTGACCAACGATCTAAGAGACTTATTATTATTAATTGCTCACACTATAATACCTATGCCAACAGAAAACTTCTTTAAGATTAAGACTCCAAATGGTAAAATATTCTATAGAGCGAAAATATAATTTTATTCATATCTTTGTAATTTACGTTAGGAATCACGAGGTGACAAAAGTATTAGAGCCACAGAGACATAGTCATAAAAGGTGACTGAATTTAGCTAATTGTTACTACTATTTCACTATTATCAGCAAATCAGCAAGTAAAAAAAAATGAATAAATGTTAATTACATCATACATTACATTACATCATTAAATCATACACTGCAACTTTAATTTTTTTATTTTTAGCCTATTTTGATGATTTTTTTTGGGACACTGTATAAATTTATAAATTTTAATTTGATATAGTCAGTTTTTTGATAAAATTTTATATTTCACTTATTGTAAAATAATAAATGTGGTTTTATTATCCTATCTTTGTAACATCCTGTGGAATAATTCCGTTTTTGAATTTTCATAAATCCGTATTTTTCAGCTGCAACCATGTATCCTAAGCATTGTGTTTTTTGTTTAATGTCAAAATATGTATTGGTTTATTTTTAAGAGCCAAATGAATTTGCCACCCACAATTTGGGACTTTTTTAATTATAATTATTTTGGAGTTATTTTGTACTACGACGAGGTGGCTTTGATGACTGTTATCATTATACCATATTGACACTTAAATTTTTTTTACCTATAATTGATCATTTATACTCAGAAATCAACAAATTCAATTACATCTTAGATCTAAAGTTTTTGATGCATGCATTATTCCGATATTAACTTATGCGGCACAAACATGGACAATCACAAAAAAAATATGAATATACTTAGAGTCACTCAACACGCGATGGAAAGAGCAATGCTAGGAATATCACTTAAGGACAAGAAAACAAACACATGGATAAGACAGAAAACCAAAGTCACCGATGTGGTGCAAAAATCATTAAAGTTGAAATGGGAATATGCTTTACATGTAGCTAGAAGCGATCTAAACAAATGACACAGATCAATTTTAACCTGGAGATCATACCAACACAAAAGACCCAGAGGCAGACCTCCTATTAGATGGACAGATGACCTGAAAAGGACTGCCGGGAAAAATTGGCTACAAGTAGCGTACAATAAAAAACAATGGAAAGGAAGACTTGAAGAGGCTTATGTTCAGTTGTGGACGTGAATGGCTAGACGAAGAAGAAGAAGAAGAATAATTGATCATGGTTCTTAGGGTTGAAGATTGTGCAAAAGCTGGTGCCCTGGTTGAAGATGGGCGAAATTATGAAAATGTGGCTATAGCACCACACACTCATCACTCTACCATTCCAATGGTAGTGGAATGTTTGATACGAACTGAAACAAACAAGCGGAAAGTGGTAAAAAACATAAATAATATAAATTTTTACACTTTGTGCTAAAAAAAATCAAAATAGGGCTAAAAATAAAAAAACTGAAATACTTTGAATATGAAGAAAAATTTATCCATTGCGTTTTTTCGCATCTGTGTAGAGTGTACAATTAAGTATGACTACCTTTGCCTGATCCCAAATAACTGCTTATATTGTCACCACAAAAGAATCTCAAATCTATAGAGTATTATTGAAAGAATCTTACCACTCTGTAATCTGGCTTGCAAACTTGGTTTCCTTCCTGGTCTGTCAGAATAATAGTCGTCCTCAGAACCCATTGCCAATCTTCTTCTTATTTCCTCGCGATCTGTTCGCCTCTGAAACAAAATAATATATATCAAAAAAGTAAAACGACAGTTTTTATCGATTAACAGTAATTTATTCAAACAATGCACAAAGGGTAAGTACTGTTTCTGAGACAGAAAAACTAACAGCACTAATAATAATTGGAAATAAATGAAATAATAAAAACTAAAATAGATATTTGTAATATCCTAATTAAAATGTTCAAAAAATTACAACTGACAACAAAATTAGATTAAGTAACAATTTATTTTAATCAGAACCACAATTGTTTGGTTTTCCTAATATGACTATTTGGTGTGTAATTTATGAAAAAGTATTTATACAGTAAAAAGTTGACTGCTAGGGGTTGAACCTTAAATATTCACTAAAGACTCCTCTTTGAAAACAATATTAAAATATTTTTCATATTATTTATGAAGATATTAATACTAAGGCAGTTTCAAATTGTCACAATTTACAGAGTATTGTAAAAATAATAATATAAGCAAATATACAATTTGGAATAATTCAGATGAAAATGGTCTTATAATAGTTTTAATGAACTGGAAAAAAATTACTGAACGAAAAAGTTAAGAAATCCCTTTTCTAAGTAGTAAGAGAACATGTTATAATAATGGAGCCAAATGAGCTTATTGAGCGGATAAGACTCAGAAAAAGATTCATTGCTAACATACAAACAAAGGTGATATTCAAATATATTCAAATTATTGAACAAATAAACAAATCTCACATTTACAAATTTTAAACATATTTTCAACTGAAATTGTAATTATTTCTCTTTAAAGATAATAAATAACATAAGTGATGCAAGAAAATAGCTGTAGAATTACATTAAAAGTGCAGGGGCAAAATTTCGGATCAATACTTTTTAAATGCATTCATTTTTTTAAGTCCTGAGAAAACTAATATCTAAATATTTTTGAAAAATTTAGAGGTAGAATGAAAGATTACATTATTACCAAGAGTCAAAAAGTCCCTTAGAATAAACAAAAAGTTCAAACTTAATTTTCACTTTTTTTCACCCCTGTAACTTAATAAAATAAATATTATAAAAATTTTCAAGGACTTTCGGACCTCAGTAATAATGTAATATTTCATTCTGTGTTTAAATTTCTCAAAAATATTTATTAGTTTTCTCAGGATTCAAAAAAAAAGGTTAACACCATGTGCAAACTACAAAGATTACTTGAATCTGTAGAAGAAATAAGTTTCTTGCAAGTTATCTTAAATGTTTAATCAAAATTGATTCCTTATAAATAAATGTTTCAATTTACAATGATCTCATTGCTAGAATTGACTGCCAAACATTTGACATATTTGGAATAAAATATAGCAAGTCTTGCGAGATTTTTAGATCCCTTAACATCCTACTTTTATGTAACTGTTTTATTGTAGTAATCTTTAAGATACTATTTGTTGGAAGATTTATTGGGAATTTTTTAATATATCTGTTGTATTATTGTTTGCTAAATCCACTATTACACTGAAAGTGTTAATACAAAAGTTATTGGTAATAAAACACCTTATTTCTAGGGGAATCCTATAATACTTACAAAAGAACCTCAATGTAAAAATATAGTAAAATAATGTTGAAATCATGGATGTATAAATAAAGAGTTGAAATGAACACAAACTTTAATGATTTGTCTTTTGTCATTTAAAATCACACCACAATTTCTAGGAAATATAAGCAGAAATATGATGATTTTCAAATAATGAGCTAATAGAGAAAAATAGAGTTAAAAATATTTCGAACTAATAACTGCAGAATAAAATATAAAGCCAAAATACTTGGGATCATATCACATAAAGAATAGTATCATTGGAAATGTAAATAAATAAATGAAAAATCAAAGTTCATGTAGGTTGGACTAATCATCTTATCAGGCATGAACTATACGAAATACACATAATTGGCGAACTACCACTCACAGCTGTTGCATCATAAACTCACCACATTATGATAAATAATGGAAGGACAACATGATCACTACATTTCTAATAGTAACAATAACAATTCTTACTTCTAAACCTTTGTCGTCGTCAATTGTTATCACTTTAATAAATCTATCGACAATATTCTGTTCGTCATACGAAGGGGGCACGTAAGGAAACCATTCCATATTTTCATTTACGGCGTTATAGTCCATGCTGAACGTGGTCATAGAGTAAGCCCTTGGTGCTAAATAATCGTTTTCCCAACAATGGTCTTCCTCTTCCTTTCTCGTTATCGTGTAATAACTTGTTTTATTCTTAGAAAAACTATTTTTAAAACTATTGATATTGTGCGTGATCTTGCGAGATTTATTTTTTATGGCATCGGAAATATTATTTGTTCGATGTTTCAAACTAGTCAGCCAATTATCCAACATCGTTCAAGGAACTAAAGGCACTTTTCAATTAAACGAGCAAAAACTTAAACCTTCACAAATAAACCGATTAACTAAAGACGAAAAACTCAAAAACTTAAACGTTATCTTTTGTTTTGGCACATGTCTGTGGTTTTGTTTTGTTTTTTTACTGTTGCTATGGCGTCGAGTAAGAAAGTGCGACGGAAACGTGCGCTACTGCGAGTGGGAGGAAGATGTACGAATCGTACACCTGTCACAATACGTTACGTAAAGGTGCGCTGCTGTCGGTAGCGCGATTACAGGGACCGATCGACAAATGTTTATGATACAAGGGATATTCTAAAAGTATGGAGAATATTTATTTTATGCACGTTTGCCTGGAAAATTAAAATGTAGAAAATGTAGAATTAAAATTAGCTCAAAGAAAGATAATTTAATGTCAAAATAATGTGGAATATTATATTTTAATTATTAACTTTACTTTTTTTATATACACAAAGAATAACTGATCATTTTAAACATTCAAAAACATTTTAAACTTGTAATTAATTTGCTTTTATTATCTCTACATAATAAGACACCATTGGAGGTTGTACATAGTGCACAAACAGAGTTTTAAAGTTTTGTTTAGAAAACGTTTTGAGATACTTTGCACAACTAATTTTTTTCTCGTTTGAATAGTATTTAGAAAATATGTAATCGTTAATTGATATACATTTTCCAAGTCCTAAACAAAAACTGTTCAAATAATAGGAAATTAGATTTTCGTGAGATTTATTCATTAACACCCATATAAGACCTGTATAAGATACACATTTTACTCATGTGAATACTTTACATAATTCAAACTATTGTAATTTTTTTTATTAATTATTGTTAATGTTTGGAATGTGTGTTAAAACAGTTTAGACTGTGTAAAGTATCTACAACGTCAACGGGAACGGTGGATGATAACCAGTGCGTATTATAGCAGCATTAATGTCTTATTAGATGTGAAAATATCGAGGAAACCATTAGCCATTGTTTTTAATAAAGATAGGGTAAAGTGTGCAAATCGCGGTCACCTAAGAAGAAAATTTAATATAAAAAAAGTAAAACTCTGTGAATCAAATTTAAGCCGTCAATCCGTAATTTGGGGTTTCAACTTATTGCAAGATACATTTAATTTCAAAAATATAAAATTTTTGTCTTTGACAGAGACAAAACATAAAAAAGTATCTTTGACCGGTATTATCACCATACATGGACAATACCGGTCATGAGTGTGGGTAATGCCAGTCAATTTGTTTGTGTTATTATTAAAATAAAAATCAATATCTATTTAACATCTTTTTGTTATAAAAACGAATAACGAATGTGGCTTAATGGGTCATAATTCAAGTAAATCAGTAAGAAAGGTGAAAAAATATTTTTTATTACAAAACAATCAAAAAATAACAAAAATATGTGTTTTAATGTAAAAATAGTTGACAGTCATCGCAGGTATAACTCTCTGCAGAATCCCATCCACTTCACTCTGAATAAGCCCATCGTGAGCAAACGGTAAATATATACCACAATTCATTGTTTTTGCCAAACTCGCTGTAAACCAGGCATCTATCTTCGTATGTATCGTCACTGTTATCACATGATATATCATATCCGATTCCAAAGAACTAGAATCAAATACCTTTTTCTTGTAATGCCAATTACAAGAAAAAGGTGTTTTATTACAAGAAAAATTATCTTGTAAACCCAAATGCTAATTTTCTCAGTTCTATTGCTGTTACGCCATAAAAAATTAAGCTAAATTTTTTTTTGTGTGGCTATTTTAGCTTCTTGTTCGGCAGAAAATACTGATTTTCTACATAATGAGACACCTTGAAGATTTTTATTTTTTATTCTTTCTTGCAATTTTGAAAAATGGATGGATTAATCCCTAAGGATTAATAGTATAGGGTATAAATTATAGCATGGGGGTAATACCGGTCAACTGACCGGCATTGCCTCCTGTTGGCATTTTTTTTCTTAGAATTTTTTACTCGTAAACATGTATTAAAATATTGATCTTTAAAAAAGGAATAGGCAGCTAACGTCATTATAATCAATTGTAACCAATTTTAAGATCTACAAGTGAATAAAAATGAATTAAGACCTTATATTACTCAGCATAAAAATAAGATCGAAAACACTGAAAACAGGTTAATAATATTTCTATGACAATGGTTTGCGCCAACTCAACGCTCGTCAGCAATCTGAATACAGAGTAGTGTAGCGACACGTTGGCAGTTATAGGAGGTTGCCAGATTGAATAGATTTCGCACAATCGGGATGACCGCCATTACCCACTGACCGGTATTTGCACAGTTTACCCTATATGTTGGTTTCGTAATGCTTTTAGAATTGGGATATAAAATATATACCTATACACAAGACAGTAAAACATCAACTTATACATCTAAATAATGGATATTTTTATTCGGTAACCAAAACCGAACGGCAAATTAAAAAAGCCCTTCCAGGCTTCTTTGTCATTAGAACTTTTGAAATATTCGCTTGATAGTCAGCTGGCAATATATAATAAATTTATCTTTTATTTTGATTTAAACAATATGGTCAAATGGTGTTACCTAAAGGTAAATATGTAACTTCTTTTTCTTCTTTTTATGTAGACATGATTC